TGCTCTCATTAGCTAGTTAGTTGACGATTGACCGTATAGTATACGCGTGTAGTTAGAGTAGTCTTGGATGTCAAGACTACCTTGATTTAATAAACTAATTTAAAAGCATAAGTCTAGTCTACTCTTAACCCATTGGGGGCACATTTGGCTGTTATAGCCTTAGTATTTATACGGATTTAAAGACCCAGATTTCCTTGTCGTGAGCTGAACACGACAATACCCAATTTCAAATCAATACGATGACATCATTTAGTTCTAAATTACGCGTACACTCTAAAATAGCGGCATCAGTTATGAGATGTATCATACCACTGTGATTTTAGAGAATGATGGAGCTGCTTATTATCGCTGCTTAATCTTTTGGAATAACTTCGTTAGATAAATAGATTCATGACTAGAGATAACTTTTTTTGCGTTTCCCGGGATTTTACCAAAAATTATCACGCAAGTGCTCGTACAGTACTATATATTTCGGCACTTACGAATAGGTATCATACAAAAATCGGGCTTCACGAAGACACATCCTACGAAACCATACATTCAAATTTTAATATTTTCGTGCGGAAGGTTTAATCGATAGCAGTAAAAGTACAATTAGATGTTTACTTGCTACACACTGCATCGCGACCTGATGGTAAAATCGACTATGTGGATATTTTATAGCTAATTTAGTTTTATTTTCATATAAGTTAAGCGCCTGAGAACTAATCTCTATGTAGGCAATCATAAAATTAGAGTTTCACCCTCAAGCAGCAGTTCATAATATAATTAATTAATTATAAATCTGTGTATCGACTGATACACTATCCTCACCAAGCTATGTAATATACATCCCTCTGTTACTCTATTACAGACTATGGAATGACTAACTGTACAAGTCACGGCCGTTTTCAATCGTTAAAATTTAATAATTTAGGTCGATCAAATTACGTACAGTAGTTAAAAATTAATTTATCTCGTAACTTTTTGACGGCATTAGAATAAACAGAATTTTATTTTTAAAATATAGTAAACCGGTATAAGTGTTCAATTACTACAATTTATATTAGACTGGTTACTATAATCCCATTTACGGTACAGAAGCAATATATTAAATCGAGGTACAAAGAACTATGATAGAATTTGAATTTATTATTTTATCTGTGTTGTTACTTACTAAATTTTAGAGATTCGAGCGGATTCAATTCTATGTCATATATATTACTTAAGATATTGCAATAACCCATACCTTATTTTTATGAATATTTTACACGGAAAAGAAAAGATTCATTCAGATATCCCAAGTGAAAGATTTATAATTTATTTAAATAGAAGAAAATAGAGAAATCTATATATGTTCCGTACCCAATTATATTTATTGATCAAAATTACGAATTACAAGCAACACCGCAATTTCCAAAGGAAAATATCACATAATCAATATAGTAGAAATCGGCATGAAACTAATACAGAATTAGAATGGCATTTGTTCAAATTTAATTTATAAAACTGAAAGCTATCTAAGCTTATTGATCATAAGTGTTTTAATATATCTATTGCAATTTAAAGCAAAGTATCAACTAAGAATAGATCATAACAATAAGGAAAAAATGATATTGCAAATCCAATCTACAGCGAAAAGATTACTAAGTTATTATGAATCTAAGTGCAGACTCATCCATATCTATTTTACTTATTCTACGATAAAACAAATGTTTCCAAGAGATGAACAGGTCTTTCAAAGCAGTTTGAAGATTCGGCTAAAGGTTCTTTCAACTTTACCGGTTGACAGACTCTACATAACCATTACCTCCTTCAATAGAACCTGAACTGCAGGAAAAAGGAATTTAAATTTATTACTCGCTATAAAACTTCATTTTATACCAGTTCATTGACCACTTAGCTCAGTAAGCAACACTCATCATAGACTACTAGGTTCGTTTGATGATCGTCTCACTTACGATTGATATGTAGAATTTTCTTCGCAACTTCCGATCTCATTCTCCCTGGTGTGATTGTTTTTATCACTTTAATAGCAAATAAAATCGCAACGAATATGCATAGTTATTACTATAGAATTTTCCCTGCTAGAGAATATTTCACATTGGATTTTAAATGTACAGGACTAAATACATCCTGATCTATAATATACAGCTCATGATAATGACAAGAAAATATTTACATCTGCTTGATGGAATTGTCAAGAAGCTGTTGAGTGTTTTCATCACTAGCAGTTATAAGCGCAAAATTAGCTGTATCTTATTAACATAATTTTATTTGCGTAGTAAAGCAAAACTTATATAGGATACGTAGTAACTATCGCAATAGACAAAATTAAAAATACGAAATAGTCAGATTTATCCAACAGTGCAATTTTTTTAAATTGTCATTGAAGATTTTGCTTTATTCTACATATTGTAAACTAATAATACAGTATAATGATTAATCATTGCTTTGTTGTAGAGTGAAAGAATGATTAGAGATACTTTGTGCCCACGATTAAAAATAATTTATCCACAAAAATTAATTGCTCGCAACCACAAGTTTGTCGTACCATAGTAAGCTCGAATTATCATGTGGTAAATTAAGAGCTTCTTCTCCAGAACTGATACTAACAAAAAAAGAATGAATTATTCATCAGATATATATATATAACCAGCATAGTTGTAAGCTTCTCTATAAGCAAAACCATGAAACCAGTGAATGCAAAATACAGTTTCATATCATACCAATGACGTGAGCCATCATCTACCAAGTCGATAACTTCTTCTGTAGCTCTAAAATAAAAAATTGTGCCCTAATTTATTTTTGTACGGTAAATGGCCATTAACTCCTATCCTAAGATAATTAAAACTATTCCGACATATGACGATTTAAATTTGTTTAAAAATATTTCTTGTCATGACTGATTAATTATTAATTATCAACTAAAACAACATTAACTTGCACAGCTCTGAGCTAATGATAATGTTGACCTTATATCAGTTTATTTGCAGCTACCCTTGGTAATAGAATTTATTATAGCTTTATTATATTCTGGAACCTTATTTGACTTACCTCCCTTGCGCAGACTGTTTATCAGCTAAGCTGACACTTATTTCTGCAATACTAAATAATGGACATGACTTAAGCTTAAACAATAAAAAATTCTCTTAAAAAATCTTATCCAAGATTTACAATTGGATGTTATTTCGACATAGTTTAAACTTACTCCTCCTGTAATGAGCAATTATCCGTTAAACTGATGTCTTGCGTAACTCTATAAGCAGCACCAATTATAAATTACGTAATATATTGCAATCTGTAGTACATACTTATAACTAGTAGTAGATTTATGATCTGACATCTTAGTATTCAGAGCATGCCTTACTTCTTTCGGGCTAAAGGATCTTCTATTAAATCAATATTTTCCGTAGTTCTGATATTATTGATGTTAGTGCGGTTTTAGTTTACACGTTGCAAAATTCGATACTACCTATTGTACATAGCTGTAATTGTTATAGTAATTTCCTAGCTAAATTCTGTCTTACCGCTCTTGAGCTAAACAATCATCCACTGAATCTATACCATTCCTAGCAATTCTAAAAGCCATAATGTCATCATTTAAAAAATAAATTACGTATGCAAAGTATGTCAATAAATATATATTATCTTGATACATTCCGCCAGCTATCTATTTCTTACTTCGAACGAGGTGATTTTTTAATTATCGAGCAAGAATCTTCTACTGAACTGAAAATTAATAATATCTTTTCAAGTCAAAATTTAATTTTAATACTGCTGAGTAGTTATAGAATGTAAGATAAAATTGTAAGAGTATTCCATACCTCGATTCTTGAAGATTTTGATAGCTTGCGTCATGATCATTAGATTGTTCAGGACTGAAATAACGGTAGAAAATCTCAGGGTCGATTATTTTTTAGGCTATCAATAACAATCTATATAGATTTTTACCAGCTTTTAAGAAAGTATGATAATAATTTTAACATACGGCTATGAAAATTTAAGCCCATAGTGACTTTTGAATTATAAATATTTACATCATTTAGAAGCCGTTTCGAAATTGTTCAAAATTTTAATGTAAATTGTTTACCACAATGAAATTACGATAATGTAATTGATAAAATAGTTATATAAATGCAATCGAACAAATTTACAAGCTAATTAATTGACTTCATCATCATTACCGCTTCTCCTTATTGCAAATTTCTCGGTTATTAATACTGGAACTGTAAAAATTGAAATTACTAGAAGGTGAAGCTAATTTAACGAAAATGTTATCAAAGCAATCTAGCGGAAATAAACATACGATGTAGAGGCTAAATTGAAATCAGGGCTTTGCCCAGGTTCTTTACTACATTACATAAATAGAAAAATGTGCTTTATCTTATTAAATTGAAAAGCAGCCTAGCAGTTAGTACTAAAATTTATCACTTATGTTCATAAAAGATTACTCCGTGTAAAATAAAATTGTTTTAGCACATAATAAATTATAAAAATGTTAATTTCTAGTTTGCGTAATTTCTGTATTTGGTCAGAATTAAAGTTAAGCTCGGAGTTAATAGGCAATTAAGATTGAAATTTTTAATTGGCTCCAAGCTAATCGTTCAAGACTTGGATATTTCGATCGCTAGAACTTAAGCAAAGCGGATTATAAGTAATGCTATGTTATAACATAGCATTACATAAATATAAAGTGGCGTATATTGTAAGCATAAAAACATGAATTACATGACATTAGATAAATTTCCCTTAATGTTAACGGTACTTTCTTCTCTACATTTAAAATGATAAACGTTTAAATTTATATTTCATCATAGTAGCTTGCAAGGAAAAATATGCAAAACAGTAAAATTTATCTTTTATAGCAGCAGTTTATGAGAGTAAAAATATAGCTTACGATATATTGGATGAACTTTTCTCAGTATTTTCGAAGCTTTCTTCTCTATAATATAAATTATGTAAAGAATTAGTTTTATTTTATCTCAGCAATTTATAAATATAAAATGTATAAATTACGCCATTTTAATTGCAGCTTCCATATTGATTTGGACTCTGTCTCTATAATTTACAATAAGCAAATCATATCCATTCATATTTATCATACTAAATATGCAATTCCTCCTGTATGTCTAGGAGATAACGCAGAAGCCGTAATATAACCATCTATTTGTTCGAACACAATACTTTGAAAATTACCTATAAACTTCAATTGGAATATCCTTAACTTGAGCATTTCTATCGACAAAATTTACATTTCGTAGAATCGTAATATAAGCAGGAAATTACAAACTTGACAAGAAATTTATAAATACTGGTATATGTCATACGTAATATTCGAGGAATCAGCTTTAGTCTCTTGCATGATTTCTTCACTAAAATAAGCAAACTTTTACTTTTAAAATTTATCATACTTTAATCCAACTATTGATGTAAAGAATTACATCTTACGCGATATTTTATACGTTCGAATTACCTCTTTGCTCTAATTTTATCCACCTTCTCGCGAGTGTCAACGTTACTATTAATGAATTAGCTTAGATTTATTACAAGAGAAACGTACTAAAAAATTATATTGAGGTTTACGAGAATTAAAAACGCTATTTACGCAATATCAGACGAATCTTCTTTTACAATTTGCCCTTTTTCTGCTCTATAATTTTATAAAATTCAAAACGCGAAATCTTGTATTTTTAATAATGTCAACCAAAAGATGAATTCTAGCCATTTAATATCATTTACTTACTTATTATTAACTATGTCTTTATCAGCATTTACAACATTTTCGTTACTAAATATTTAAGTCATAAGAGAAATAGTTATAAAAATCTTACGATATTTCAAGTGTGTTTACGCTTAACCCTATATATTCAATACTTAAACCTTGATCATGGGAACATCTTGCAAACATTAGTGAGTAAAATAGTTATGAAAATGTGATTTAAGCTAGACAAAGTATATGGATGAGTGATATACAAAGTGAATATAACTATTTCTGGTTCTAAAACGTAACATCGGGCATAGAAAATACTGTAGAAGCCAGTATGGTATAATCAATCTTAGTTAAAATTTTTGATAGCGAAAAGAGCACCAATTCAGAATTAAGGATTTCCTAAACTAGCCAATACAATTAGTCTACCGATATAAGTTTCAATAGAATCCATAACATAACATAGATTACCAATCCATTG